TTCCTCCGCCAACTCTTTACCCAGAATTTCAGAGCCATGACGTGACAGGGTTCGTGGTCGCTCATGCATGGAAACGAAAAGGAAAAATGGATATTTAATTTTTAATCACATTTAGAAAAGATAAAAAAAAGGGTTTAGGGCAAAGAAACGACAATCTATTTTTTCGAAGATAAAAAGATACACATAGACATTTCAATCTCTTTTTTGTAATTATAGTGTAATTTATCAACGTTGAGAATTGAATTTAAAACCGGCATGTAAAATATATACGTAAAGTTCGTACTAATAATTGCGTCATCCCATAGTGCTTAATTTTTAATCCTAGTTAGCTTTAATGGAAAACTAATGAAAAGGGCCTGAAAACTTTGAGTTTTAACGATAAGGACAAAATAAATAGTAAAGTGAATAGTACCAGGATTGACTTTTTAGTGTAAAAATATGGTTTTTCGTTAAAATGAACAGTACTGGAAGCTTTTCATTAAAGTTCCCTAGATTTAAATATTGTGTACCAAGTTCTATGGGGTTGTTTAGTTTTATGCCTCCAAGAAAACCTACACTCTTTGTCGACTATTGAAAACAATGTAAGGTACATGTGAGAGTCTTCGTTTGTTAATAAAAAAAAGGTACGAGGGTGGATGAGTCGGTCTTATTTTTCTTTATTTTTTAAATATCAAAGTGGTGAAATTTCAAACATTCTATATCTTCCAACCCAGAAGAAAAGAGTTGTGGTAGTTTCCTATTAGGCCTCGTTTATGGGCTGGATGAGATATGTTATGACCAATTAAAATGGACTTGAGTCTAATCTATTGTTTGTTGTGTTAAATGTGACATCGACATGACCGGAGATGATGAGTTATGAGTCTACAATAGAGTGAGTTATCTAACTTATTCTTATATATGGATTATAAATCATGTCATACAAATATCTGACAATCAAATCATATCTCTAAGGCCCACCCATATCCAGCTCACCAAATTAGCCCTTAATTTGTTGATGTTACAAACTCAATCATGTGACTTCAAATCTTCCAAATGTTGAAAGAGGCATTTGTTCAAATCTCCCCTACCATTTTATTAAAACAAGGAACTCTTCCTCTTATGCAAGAAAAAAGTTTAATATGATTAAAAGATCCACTCAATTCAAGAGCTCAACCAATTAATTCCAAAGAAAATAGTTATTATACTAATATCTTAGGGGGCTCATGTGTATCCAATCCAAGATATTTATCTCATCACATCCAGAAAGATATAGACACAAATATTGTGATTATGAGAAGACTTATAATGCTTGAACTTTTGTTGTTATTGTACGTGCCTTATGAATATGCTAAAATAATGGAGTCTTTGCCAAGATGCCAAAAAACTACAATATTATATGCTTAAAAGAATTCCTTGAGATGGTCTTGTATGGTTTGCTCTATTTAATATAATGAACTATTAGGTAAATAGTCTTACAAATCACCATTTTAAAGATATGGTTCTTAAACCTTGGGATATTTTAGGCCCACTTATTTATTTATTTGACAATTTTATATTATTTTATTTATTAAATTGATTACGTAGGTGTGTAACCAATAGATGCCTTGCTTTGTTTAATTCCCTTCTTTGACATATCATGAACACGTGTATGTTTCTCTTTTCCAAATTTTACCAACATTTTTTTAATATAATTTTTCAAGTTATTTATATATAAATCCAAGACCTTGCATCAATGCATTTGCACACCATCCTCTTACGCTTCTTCTTCGTTTAGCCACTTTCTCCTTGTTCTTCCCACCTAAAATCTGCATGCACAGTTTTGAAAACTCTGGGCAAACCCATCAGAACACATTTTGTATCTTCTGTCATACTGTTTTCTGATCTGTTTCCAGAACTGTTCGAGTGTAAAGTAAACGCTCTTAATCGCTTGAGTTACAAGTAGTTACGAAGCGGAGAATAATATAGGTGAATGAGCAAACTCACCATCAAACACCTTTTTTCTTGTGTCTACTATTTTCTGATATGTTTCCAAAATTGTTCAGTGCAAGGATAAACGTTCTTAATCACTTCTGTCTTGTGGTGAGAACAGTTGAGAGGGTTATGAGGTAAAGTAGCTGGGTGACTCAGCTTAATTAACTTTTCCATCTCCTTTTGATTTAAGTTAGTTGAAGTTGGTTTCACAAGAGAGAGAAAACCCTAGTTTCAAGAGGCTGATATGAGTTGCCTTTGATCCAGGGAACTGAAGTTTTCAATCATTTTCCTTACTGGGTTTTTCTGTATTTGCTTTGGCCTTTTCTTTTCCTGACTTTTGTTTGCTAGAAATAGGACAAAGCTTTCTTCTTCTTTTTTGTGAGATCAGTGGGTTGATAAAAAGTTAGAAAAGGAAAGTTTTGGTTCTCTAGAGACTTGAAGAAGTTGAAGGATTCCTGAAGTTTTTCTATTTATATTGTGGAGTTTCAAGTTCCCATTTCTAAATGTTCATGTTTTTGAATTAGATCACAAAAGATTTGATTTTTACTGAAGGCAGTAATTGAACACTGGTAATTTTGTAAGTTGGGTTTGGAAGGTGAAGGTTAAATCTATGGAGGATTTAGCTCAGGCAGTTGCTGTTCCATATAGGCTAGGTAGTTTGATCCATGAGGATTCAGCAGTAAAATCCCAGGTGGAAATTACTGGCCTCAAGCTAATAGCAAACGCGTCACCTTTGTTCTTCAATAGTCCTCATGACGAAAACCGGGGAGCGGAAGTCGTGAATCGGGGAAGTCAGGAATATAGTAAGAAAATGTGCGGAACAAGCTGCAGTCAGAAAGTTTTCGATTTGGATCGCGTACCCCTTTGGGGTTCCACGTCTATCATTGGAAGGAGACCGGAGATGGAAGATGACGTTGCAGTTGTGCCGCAATTCTCGCAGGTTCCGGTTCAAATGCTAATGGATGACAGTGTCTTGAATGGCATGAATCAAGACCCAAATGACTTAACCGCCCATTTTTTTGGAGTTTATGATGGACATGGAGGTTGCCAGGTATGATAGCTTAACTGAAATTCGAATTTTTGTCCTATAGAATTTCCATTTTTGCATTGATCAAAGAACTTCTCGTGTCGAATTACTCAACTTGGATTCTCTCAATTCTTCAGGTTGCTAATTATTGTAGCGAACGCCTGCACTCTGCACTGGCCGAAGAGCTAGAAATTGCGAAAACAGGCTTCCGAGGCAGAAGCAATGGGGAGGAGGGTTGGCAGGAGAGGTGGAAGGAGGCCTTCTCGAATAGTTTCTTTAAAGTGGATGCTGAGATTGGAGGAGCTCCAAGAGGCACGTCTGAGAGCAAACCTGTTGCTTCTTCTGGGGGAGCTCCAGGAGGCCTTCTCCAACCTATAGCTCCTGAAACCGCCGGATCAACTGCTGTAGTCACCGTAATTTGTCCAACGCATTATCGTAGCAAACTGTGGCGACTCGAGAGCAGTATTGTGTAGAGGGAAAGTTTCTGTACCTTTGTCAGTAGACCACAAGGTAAGGCCTTTAATTTTTGTAGTTTTCCATTATTTCATCCATTTTGCATCTCACAAAATCTTAAGTGCAAACGCGTGTTTATCATCCCGGAAGTGCCTAAGTTTCTAGAGAGACTGATTAAGTTTTCTTCTGGTTTTAGCCAGATAGAGAAGATGAATATGCAAGGATAGAGGCTGCAGGAGGCAGGGTCATACAGTGGAATGGTTCACGTGTTTTCGGTGTTCTTGCAACGTCAAGATCCATTGGTACAAACCTTGGAAACCCATCTTGTGCTTGTATATATGGTCTGAGTTTGATTTTATTCATGCTGATGGAGATGTTCAATCTAATCAGGGGACCAATATTTGAAACCGTGGATTATACCGGATCCAGAAGTAGTGTTTGTTTCTCGAGAAAAGGAAGACGAGTGCTTAATTCTAGCCAGCGACGGGTTGTGGGATTTCATCACAAACCAGGAGGCCTGCGACATTGCACGAAGGCGGATCCTTCTGTGGCACAAGAAGTACGGTGATACCATGTCAACGGAACGGGGCGAGGGAGCTGATCCTGCTGCTCAATCTGCAGCAGAGTATCTCTCAAGGCTTGCCATGCAGAAGGGGAGCAAGGACAACATCACTGTTATAGTAGTAGACTTGAAACCCACAAGGAAGTTTAAGAAAAAACCCTAATTAGAATTAAAATTGGTAATCAGAGATTTTATCTTAATCACCAAAATAACGCAACCCTAAGTTTTTCACCTGGGTTGGGTGACACGGAGAAATTTTTGGTCGGACCGTCACATCATGTGGTTAATTGTGTGAATGATAGGTTGATAAAATCACGTGACGGTGTGACAACCACAGCGAAAAATCTCTCCACAACTGTAACGTTTAAGAATTCTTTCGCCCTCCTTTGCGTTGTTCTTACTATATTATTAATTTGTACATGAACACAGTAGTTCAACGAATTACAATGATGTTTTTCTATGTTCCTTTCCTTCTTGTTTGATAGTCTCTCTAACAATCCGACCCTATAAACCATAATCCATAAGAAATTACTTGCACAGAAGGCAAATTACATAACACAGACGAATGAATTTGCAATCGTAAAAGACGAACAAATGCTTTCGACACTAGACAGATGAACAGATTTCCAAGTGCATTTGACGAACAACAAACAGATTTCCCCCAACAATCATAAACCTCAAATTTATGGAAAGTTGCTCGCTTTCCGGCGTTGAAGGCAAAGTATACTTCTTTCATTGGTGTGCTGATACTACAATTGGGTTTAGGAGTGTACAGTCGAATCGACTTATCAAGGAGGAGAAACCAGTCACTTACAAGTTACAAGAAGCATTTCCAATACGGCAGGAAAAAGTTGGGACTAGTAAAAATAATGTCAATTACGAAGTAAAACTTGTGCTACCGAGGAACTAAAATGGAAAGAAAGTTTACTCGTGACAGTACATCTGCGGTCCCTAACACCGTAACAACGGCAGTCCACATCCTGTCATAGGCAAGAACATAGCAGAAGAGTCATTCCACAATCCAATCTTTCGTTGAACAAGGTCTCTAGGCATACATTAGATTACAGTTCTAATTCAATCTTGGTAAGCAAGACGAAACTTCAAACATCTCGCGTAAAGGAGCTTCAAGAAAAAAATGAGTACGGTATAAACATTTGAACAGAAAACGGCATAACAAAGAAAAGAGGCTTAATTTTCATCTACCATACAAAAGGATATTCTGTAGAAAAAAAAATATACTATCGAGGACATGCCATAGCAGTGATTCTTCATTTCCGCAACTGTCTTCATCCACGAGACCAAATTACACTAACAAAGAAAAGCAATGAATTTTCGTATTTCAGTTTCAACAGTGAATCCAAGATGTGGAACCAAATACAGATGTGAATATACCAGCTAGTTTTAAAATGTTGCAAGGGGAGATCCTGCTTCGGTGAAGTAAGAGGAAAGGTCAATATGCAAGTCATCGTACATGTTGATGAAAGGATGTCTCTGAAATGAGACCAAAAGACAAAGACCAAATCAGATTGAAAGTATCCACAAAATCGTACAAGGAAGAAGAAACTGGGACAAAGGGTTTCATGGGTCGTACCAGGAGATCTTGAGCTGATGGTCTATCCTTCGGATCTTTCTGTACACTGAGATAAAGACAAGATCCCCAAGGTAGGGTTAGTCACCTCAAAGAGAAAGAATATAAAAGGGTAAACATTCGAGATAAACGGGAAAAAAATAAATGAACATCAACAAAGTCAAAAACAGCAACTTCATCAACAGACAACGCAATGAGTAGAAACTCAATCACGCAAAGAGAATTTGAAGGAAACCCAAGTTTCTTGTGGTTCGATGGTTCAGTCCTTTTGGGGATGGACAGAAATGACCAAAAAATAACAAATGGCAAATGAAATTTAACTAATACAACCTTAGAGAATACAGTTGGTTCAAAATTGCTATTACAGGCGTAAACCAATGGATAGGAAGATGAGGACTAATATTTTACAAGTGAGAATCGTTAACCAAAAATTACAAGTGAGAAATAACATAAAAATATTTAATTTTAGAATATCACAAACTTAATACGAGCGGAAAAATTAAGCTTTACCATGCAGAAATAAATGAGCAGAACTCTGGAGAAAATTGATCGGAAGGGGCACAAGGTGCTGGTTCATCAACGATGGCACTCATAAGTTCAAAAAAGTTACACCATGCTTCACTTTGATCTGGTGGTACATATGGGAATTGACCTGTTGCACACTCCAGCAGTACTAACCCCAGGCTCCAAATGTCACTTTTGTAGCTATAATTGCGACAAGCGATTCTCTCTGGCTGCAAAACAAATTTTAACAGAAACAGTTAGTGCCCGCACCTCAATAGCCCTGAACAAGAAAACATGATGCTTGTATACAATAATAAATAAGTTACTCACCGACATATAGTTGTATGTGCCAATGAAAGTATTTGCCTGTTCGGACGTGCTTGCCTTTATTGCACTCACACCAAAGTCCGTTATCTTAACTTCTCCTCTATGATTGATTAACAAATTGGAAGGTTTAAAGTCCCGATGGATGATGTGCTTTTTATGATGAAGATAGCACAAACCCTGCAGCACCTGCATCAACAAGAAATGGAGAAAACAACATGTTATAATTAGTATTTATCAAAGTACGAAAGGCAGAGAGTTTCAGGTCACATACATCAAGGTGAAGTAACTTGCCTGCTTACAAATGGCAGCAAGATAAAACTCTGGAATCGTTTTGCCTTCTTCAGAAGATTTGCCAAAGACCCACCATCCATGTACTCTAGGATGATTGAAATGGTACCATTATCGTAGAAGGACTGGTAACATACAACAATGTTTGGACATTGTGATGATTGATTAATTTTCAATTCCTGTACAATCTGCCTGCGGATAGACTCTTCAATGTTCATCTGAATTACCTGAAATTGGGATAACGCAAGGACAACATAAAGCAAATGACACAATATGCAGAAATATCCAATTGAAGGCATATCGGTGGATATCTCCACAGCCAGCCCTGAGGGTAGCCCAAGTAGGCGCCCGCCTAGGGCCCCCCAATTCGGAAGGCCCCCAAAAAAAATTTATATTTTGTAATTAACATATAAATACAAAATATATATATATATATATATATATATATATCATAATTCATTTGTTAGTGCAGTGGAAATGTTGGCTTCATTTTTTTTTGGGGTGTTGAGTTCGAAACACAAAGTTGTCTTTTAGTCACTAGATGCATATAAAGTTATAAAACTCAAGTCTCTTTGCAATCTTTTTTCTTTCAACTTCTCATTCTCTCCATTTCTATCGAATGTTTAAACCAACTTCTCATTCTCTCTATTTCTATTAAATGTTTAAACCAACTATCATATGGTCTTAAATTTGTACTTTAAGGTAATCAAAACTTTGAATTTTATATTTTTCTTTTCAATAACTTTTTATTCAATGGATTATTTTAATATTCAATTCGTTAGTGTGATGTTGATTTTAGAAGGAAAAAAACACAAGAGAAACAATTGGCGTTGAATTTATTATACTCGTCAATCAAGTTTTATTGTTATTTACTCTCTTGATCATCAAGTTTTGTTGTTCTTCACTCTCAATCTTAAACTCTTGACTGCAAACATTTAGTACATTTGTGTTTAAAAAAGTGAATCTTGCAATATTTAAATAATGTTTATATATTTATCTTCTTTTGATATTAATTTTTAATGATATTTGATGTGAAAATAGAACTTTTTACGCAATTAGCAAATTTTTTTATACAAATCAATATACAAAGAACCGGAGATTAAAGAATTTTAGAGCCCCACTTCAAAAGCTTGCCTAAGGCCCCCAAATTCTCATGGCCGGCCCTGGATATCTCTACAATCTACAAAAGCATGAAGATAATTCTAACAGTGTGAATTTCAAACATGTAAGGAGTGGTGTTTATAATTAAGGAATCTTAACTCAAAGAAGTTCCTGAAATAGTAAGAATTTTGAAATAGCTCTACAAGAGACTCTACTACTCCGACTTTACTCATCTCAAGATTCAAACACGATTGCAGCTTACAGCATAACTTTTGGAAATCCATCTTTAGGCTAACACATGAAGAAAGTTGAGGTTCCACCACAAAACTGTGGTGAGTAGCCCAACCTCTTATAATACCTTTCAAGGATTCTCTTTTCACCAATGTGTGACTCGTTTACATTCACATCCTCACAAAGAGTTGCACATCGTCACAACAGACAGCGCACACACATATTTGGAAAATTAAAATGGTGCTAAGGCACAACACTGTATTGATCATACCTCCAAAAAACGACCCCAACCTTCTACGCTACACAAGGAGTTACTTGACTGGGAAAACATGAACAAATAATATGAAAATTATGGGCCTTCCGCCATACCTTCAATGCAAAAAACTGGCGAGTCCATTTGTGCTGAACCAATTGCACAACCCCACCAGTTCCCTTGCCAATAACTTTAATCGAGTCGAGGTCGGCTAAAATCATCTGGTTGTCCGATGCTTGAATAGGTGGCGGCTGAGCATTTGCATGCACATTCACATTCACATTCACAACCAAAACAAAAACACTTCAAAAACCTATCTTTCTTATACATACACAACATCACAGTGCATAACCTTGAGTAATAAGCAAACCCCATTTTCCTAATCACAATAATGCTCATCAAATTGGCAAAATTTAACCCAATTCACTTAAAAGATTCAATCTTTACATTTCACAAAATTGAATAGAAATCTTCTGAGAAAAATCTTACAAATTCAACTTCTCTATGAGAAACGATCCGAACCCCTTGTTTATTAACCAGGAGATCGCCATCCTTAAACGTGCCGCTTTGAGTCCTGCCATACCACAAAACTCGTAATATACATATCTATATATACACGTACACACACACACATATCTAGAGAGAGAGAGAGGGAGAGAGAGAGAGAGAGAGAGAGAGAGGGAGAGAGAGAGTTACAAGAACTTAGAGATGAAAACTTCATCAGGAGGAGGGAGAGTGAGCTTGAGGTTGGGTCCTAAGGTTCCTGTCTTCATGACTATGTGAGCTTTTCTTGTTTTTGCTTATTGTTCTTCGTCGAAGCACTTCTTCTGGTGTTTCTGTGTTTGGTCTTCACAGACTCTGAGCTGAAGTCAATCTCTTGGAATTTACAAAATGTCGACAAAATGTTTTATTTAACTAATATGTAATTAAGGAAATAAGGTGGGTCCCCACTTGGACTAGTAATAGTGGTGTTTCCACTGTTGGTTGGGAAATTTTGGAAGTTTGGTGGAGACCCATCAACTCAAAACCTTTGCAAAATGGGTGGGGAAGAAGATGGGACCGACGACTTTTCGTTATTATACCTCAACCTCTATTTTTTTTTTAAATTAATTTCAGTTTACTATTTTTTTTTTAGATTAATCTCAGTTTACTATATAAAATCTCTTGATTTTTAATATTTGATACATGAAGTTTTTTTTCGTTTCAGTCTAATACCTAAAGTTATAATTCTGGAACACTTTCATACATTCGTTAAGTTTTTCATCTGTTACTTGATAACGTGACACTCACATAGACAATGACTAGACGCCACTTGTAAATTTCATCCCACTTGGACATTAAAAATAATAAAAAATTAAAATTCTAGGTCGTCTCCTACCTCTTTCCTCGAGTCCCAACACTCACTTCCTCGAGTATTTATCAAATATAGCCAAAAATTAATCTTTAATTTCAAAAATGTCACTTTTAATAAAATCTTTCAAATATATCCAAAATTTCACCTAAATAGACATAAATACCCTCAAATTTAACAATCAATAAATTAAAGGTTTTTTAGCCAAAATGATTCGTGATATTGACATAACTCCTTAATATGATCCTTAACAATTAATGATAATCAATAGTAGTGTTCTTGAATTTATCTATCATAAATCATTTTAGTATTTCTTTGAATTTGTTCATCGTGATCATTTTAGTTTTTTTTGTGAAAAATTTGTCAATTGCTCTGTTAGTGAGATGATGTGGTGCCACGTGAGTCTCACAAATACAATCATATAACGACATGTGGATTAACTTATTTTTATATTTAAAACTAAAAATAATATTAGTAAGAAAAAATGCGTTGAAGGCATGATTGAAATTATTCTGCTCCTACCAGCAGTAATCGCGGTGGCGCTCAATGTCGTTGATGAGGAGATTGAAGGGAATAGGGTAGTGGTGGTGGAATGTAGAAGCAAAAGTTGGACCGGAGCTTGAGACGACAGTAGCTAAAAAGTTTTTAATTTATTTAATTGTTAAATTTGAGGATATTTGTATCTATATAAGTCAAATTTTAAATATATTTAAAAGTTTTTATAAAAAGTAACATTTTTAAAATTAAGAGTTAATTTTTGGCTATATTTGGTAAATACTCCCCTCCTTCCCTTCTCCCCTCTCCACCCACGCAACCCTAAATTCAATTAATTCTCCAATTCCCACTTCGACGGCCACCGTCCCCCTCCCCTACCTCTAGTTTCAATTCTTCTTCTCTACACGAAGACACCCAAATCTTGCAGGTACTCTCTCTCTCTCTACCTCTGTGATTTTTATTTTTATTTTTCCTTCCATTTTTTGTGAATTTGAAGGAAGTTCAAAATCAAATCTCGGCTAAGAACAAGTGGATTTGCAGGATGTCAGGGTCTCCAGGCTGGATGTGGGTAGGGGTCCGATTCGGGAGCGCCCAACGGTATGAATTCCGGGTCGGATTCGGGAAGATCCACGTCGGCGTCAGATTTCGAGGGAAGGGTTGGAGGCCGTGACGGGATCCGGAGGAGGAGGCGTAGAGATATGCGGCCTTGGGCTTGGCGTGTTGGAGGATTGGGCTCCGTGAATAACTTCATGCAGTGACGTCTCTTGGCTGGGGTTGGGTTTTGGGGTGTGGAGGATGGGGTTGGGTTTTGGGTTTTGGGATGAGGAGGATAAGGGTTTGGAGCAGGAGTTTGCTGCGGATTTGCGATGGTGAAGACGGAGATGGGGCTGCTGGGGATTTGCTACTTGTTCGAAATGGGGATGGGAAAAACCCTTAGTTTTTTTTTCTTTAAATTTTTGTTTTTTTTTTAAGTTTTAATTTATTATTATTTTTTTAATTTAATTTATTTTAGTTTTATTATTTTATTATTTTTAATGTCCAAGTGGGACATTTAGTCATTGTTCACGTGGACGCTACGTCATCAGTTAAAGGAAGTTTTGACGGAAAACTTAATTGACGTATGAAAGTGTCCTACAATTATGACTTTAGCTACCAGATTGGGACGAAAAAAGCTTTATGTATCAAATATTGAAAATTAAAAAATTTCAGAATAGGAAATTGAGATTAACCATTTTTTTTAATTTAAATTATAACAACGACAGTTTCTACTTTCAATTGTTAAATTCTTGATTTTGACTTAAATGTATTGTTCTTATACACATGATGTACGGAGGTAGAGGAAACTGAAAGTCGAGATTTCAAGTGCACGGGTTTGATGTTCCTGATTTTTATAAGACAGAAAGTTTGAAACTTGATCTTATACAATTGTACCGCATGTTATGTATTCATATGACTAATCTGAATTCTTGAACATCGACAAAAAAAAAAAATTGTAAACACTTGAAAAATAGTCAAAATAATAAATATAATAATTTATATAATTATTGTCCAGCAATTCAAGTGTTTTTTTTCCATCTTAAATTAGAATATAAATTATATAAACAAAATTAAATGTACGAACTCAAATTACGTACATGAGACATGAACACTGCTCTGGTCTAATAAGCCGTCTCTACCGAGAAATTTTCAATGTGCTTGAAATTTGGAATGATGGTACATTGCAGGTCATTATATAAGTGGATGCAAGTTTTATTTTTTAAGCTTTCCACCTCTTATATAATAATATTTTGTGTAACACTTCCTGTTTCCAATACATTAAAAAATCTTTTCATCTCAACGGAGAGGTAGCATAATTTCTATTTTATTGAAAAGATGAAAAAGGAAAAGTCAAGGCACGTGTGAAATGAGGTTATATATAAAACTTAGATGCACTATGTCACATGATTGACTGCTTGAAAATGGACTTGAAAATTGAATCCGACAGATCCTTTGGTTCACACTTTGCTTTGAATAGTTGCTTGTTAGTTGGTTAATCGTGAGGCCATAAATACAAATGGGATCCATATATTATTACGACTTCCAATCACTCTCACAGCTTCGATTTTGATAAATTTAGGGTTGGTGTGTCATGCATGACACAAATATATTGTCACCAACTCACAGCAACATACCCATTTCCATCCACAACTAGCGCATGTAAATAAACATCTGTTGTTGACGGAAGTAGGTTTCACAACTCGTTAACATCGTAATTAACTATTTAAGGTAAGGGTGCATGAATGATTGTTGCTAACATATTCTAACTAACTTTCATGCATGCAATTGTAGATGAAAGGTAACCTTCACAATTTGTCAACAAATATCAAGGTTCTAAAAGGTATTAGGTGCTAGTTAGCAGGCGTGCAGGGGCCTAGCACCTAGACGACGTCATTTTTTATTTTTCAAACATCTAGAGATTAATTGAGACGGTGAACTGCCTTTAAAACAGTGTAATTTACTATCTAAGCACGTATAATCAACTCGTCAACAAATTTATATATACTAAAACCCAAACACTCGGTTAATGTTCATTAACAGTAAAGTGGCAAAAATGTCCTTTGATTAAGCTTAGTTCCCTTTTTGTTTCCTCATTTGTGCAGTGAAAAGTCGGTTATGCCCTTTTTGTTTCCCCATCTGCAGCTGCAGTGTTTCTACAGTTAACTGAAGGTCAACAATTGGGTGAGCTCTGGATTTGTGCATGAATGATTGTTGCTATTTTTGTATTATTCATTTGTCTGTTGGTGTTTAAATTTTGGTGTTATTTTCTGAATTTTCGATTCCTTTTTTTAGAAGCTTTGTTATGCACTTGAGAAGAAGATGATGAGTGTTTTTAATTCATGATAAAGGGTAGTATGAGTTAGCTGGGTAATTTGTCAATATTTGAATTTTGGTTATATCTTCTTAATCTTTGATTCGTTTTTTTACAAATTTTGTTATGCATTTGAAAAGAATCAAGTGATTGGCTATGTATTTACAGCAAATGAAAAGAATCAAGTCTTTGTCTACAAATTGGTAACAGTCGATTTCTTTGAAGAGTAATGATGGAAATGATGATTATTTGTCCAAATCATGGAAGTTGAAACAACTCAGCAAATTATATCTCTATATTACATAGAGACACCAAACCAAATATATCTGATCCATCTTTTTACAACTTTTTTTTTTTCGTTTTTTTCGTTTTGTTGCCTACTATCATTTTCTACTCATGCCTTTTTTTTATCCAGCAATTACATAATTTCTCATTGCGTCTGCTTAAAAAATTGCAGAAAAAATATGGGGCCGATCAAATTAGTAAAAATCCTGAACAAAAAAAGATAATCCCAATTCACAGTTTTGACAATAGTTCAACTAAAATAATTTTTCTTCACTATTTCAATTGGAAAATCTATTCATTTTCCTTTCAGGTTGAACCAACAAGTCTCCAGGATACACATTTTGGCATCTGCTTAGAATTTGGGCAGAAAACCTAGACCAACCTCTCCCACAGTAAGTAAATTTCATTTCGTACATAACCAATCAAACTTTTTTTTTTATAATCGTAACACCATGATACAATGTGCTACTATTGTAATAGAACTTTTTACATGTTTTATAGACTTTTAAAACCCGCAGCAACGCGCGAGCTCTATTACTAGTGTAAATATTATTCATGCATGCATAAACGACGATTGTCGCTGACAGGATTCAGCATTAACCTTGGCACATAGGAAAGTTGATGTCTTGTCTTTGTCTGTCTTATTTTTTATTTTCTGTTAGTGTTTACCGTATAAGACAGTACACAGACACCGTTTTAGTTGTCACCTTCCATTTTTTTGGATAAGGATAAAAAGATATGTCGGCACAAGAAGATAATGGTTGGTATATGTTATCAACAAAGAAGACCATGTCATGTGTATAAATAGAAGAGAAACTATGAGGGCACTAGATGCAAAAGATGATGAACTTCACCAAGTTATGACTCGATTGGTATGTCGTATTATACTATAATAAATTAAACTCGATCATACACATACCACAATTTGAATGTTGAATGGTAGTTTGACTACGGTACAAAAGATTGTGCTGAGATGCGGTTGTTGTTTTGATATATATCAGATGACGGAATGGATCGAAGATCAAAATAAAAAACGCGTGAATCGAGTATCAAGGATACAATTTTACGAATTGGCTTATGACGTGCCTTTTTGAAGAGAATGGTGATGTGCATGAAACTTAAGTATTTTGCCATGGGTTAGGTTTTTAAGGAATCTACATATCTCATCACATATTTAGCTTTTCAATCTTCAAGGGTGGCGAATCAACCTATTGGGTAGATAACCGTTAAGACCTGTTTAATTTGGTATTACCTAATATAGATGTGAGATTAGTAGTAGTGATGATGGTATAAGGTGAAATCGAATTAAATGAGTCTTAAGAGTAAGTCCACCCCATCCAAATAGGTTGGCCCAAAATCCCCCAAAACAGCATAGTCCCCCAAAAACCCACTCCACCTCACCCAATAGGTTGGCCTTAAGTCCACCCCAGCTTCTAGGTCGGGCCAGAATGGATTGAGTGAGGAACTGGCTCATCTGACGTCAGCCCCAGGTTGAGTTTTTTTTGTGGCTGGCACGTGAGCGCGCGTTTCCGACAGCTCGTAAAAGGGGGCCCACGCTACAGGCACACTAACTAGACATCGAACTTGGGCCACGTGATGCGACGATGGTTGTTAGATTTTCAACGGCTAGTTTTCTGGACCATTGGATTTCCAATGGTCAAAAAACTTTGAATTTGAAATCTAACGGCTAGTGACATGGCAAAATCTGGACCATTCAATTTCCAGATCAACGGTCCAGGTTTTTCGGTCAAAAACATTAAAAACAATGTCAGAAATCTTATTGTTGACCACGTGTCCAATTTTGGGCTGTTGGATTTCAATCTTTTTGAAATCCAACGATCCAGATTAATTACTTAATAAAAATTGTTTAAAAATACAGAAAAAAATAAAACGAAAATTTTATTTTATTTTTTCTATAAATACCTAACCATCATCTTCTACCTTACACTACATTTCTATAAATACCTAATCATCATCTTCCACCTTCTACTTTCGAATAATAACACGTGGTGTGACAAGATTTGTTAAAAATCCTATATGAAATTAAAAATAAAATATTTTTTTATTATTTTGTAAAAAAAATAATAATATTTTAATACAAATTAACTAAACTCTTGCCAGCTCATTTTGTTTAGGTGTGGATATGCATTTGGCCAATTACTATTCATTGCAGTCAATTACTATTCATTTGGGTGAATTAAATGGACTTTGGGCCAACTTAGTTTTTAAGAGTGGAGTTGCTCTAATGATACCCGTATCAACCCAATGAGTTAATTTGTCACGTCTTTTACAGAGATTCCCTTAGTCTTATTTCTTAGGTTTTTTTACCAAAATGGTCCTTGAGATTTGCATAACGCATAACTTTGGTCCCTGAGATTTAAAATCAATAGAAGTGATCCCTGAGATTGCCCACCATTCATCATTTTGGTCATTTCATTTAAAAACTCCATTAATTTGAGGGTATTTTTGTCAAATCAAATTCTCCATGTGCTTTTTCACCCTTTTTCTCTCATTTCTCTAAAAAAAGAATACCCCTATTTGCTAATTTTGGCAGTGATATCAACTCTTCAACTATTATTAAAAACGATTTGGCATCAAACTCAAGTAAATCATCGCAAACGGTACTTGACTTTTTCCCTTTTGTTAATTTTTGGAAAAAAAAACTGTACAGTTTGCACACTTGAATATAATGAAATGAATGGTTCAAACTATGGTATATCCACATACAAGACTAAATTAATAGAATTAACAAAAAAGAGATACCATGTTCCATTACATGAAATTTTCAACATGATTAGCATTATAACTTGCAAAATATCCCAAAGCAAAATATGTTCAAATGTTCAATATCAAAAAACAATATCCCACATGTTTAACAGCAAGATCAAACTCTAAATGTTCAACTGCAAAATCAATATCCAACTGTAACTGTTCTAATGCAAAAAGAAGAAGAAAAGAAATGGTTGCAGCTTGTTTTCTTCCATTTGTGCAGTGATATACAAACTACAAACTCTCTCCATGCTCAAGGCTTCCAGGGCTTGCCTCTCTTTGTTGGTGATTTGTATCGTTTGTTGGTAGGATGTGATTGTGGTGGCACTACTTGGAAAGTGACACAAATGCAACCTTGTACCTGTTGAAAACCAAGTGATAATACCTTACAGTTAATAGTCACCCTGTAAAATCCAAATCGTACTCCTTTTATTACAATTTACACAAGTTATTGTTGGAAAAAAAAAAGTAAAAGAATAAACAATACAAAAACTAAAGGGCTACTGAATGTACCATTTGAACTTGTGGAGCGCGTTGTGAGTTGGATAATATCTCCCTCTTCCCATTCCTCTTCCTCTTCCTCTTCCCATGCCCCTGCCCCTCCCCACCTACAATATCAACCAATTTAATGGACTTCACTTTCATTATCAAAACCTACAATTTTTTTTTTCAAAACCTCGGTGTTGCTTTACAACTATGAATGTGAATGGAAAGCGCTCAATCAATAAGCTTACCAAAAGGAAGAAAAGGAGGCCAAAAGGTTTAGATGTCAATAACCAGAGGACCCTACTTCCTCATATATTTCCTACTCTTATTCAATGCCAAAACCTTTAAACTATTCCACACCACAAGACAGCAGTAAACATGCACGCCAACCTCTATATTTGGGAGCCTTCCCAGATCTGCCTAAAATGGTCTGCCATGTCGCAGTCAACTTCACTGCCTCGCAATTCACCAATTCGAAAGATTCCGTACCGATTTTTGATTTTCAGTCTTAGTTTTACACGAATCGAATCTCTGTCACCCAAGAAGTAAGATTATCTCCCCTCTATTTTTACCTCCCCTTTCCTCCCCTCCTATTTGAACGGTCATGGTTAAGCCACGTCAACATCTTACATTAATTTTTTATAGCAAGAGAAAGACAAAACAAGAAAATGTGAGAGGAGGGGATGGAAGAAGATGAAAAGAGGAAGGAAGAGAATCCTAGTCCGTCACCCAAACCCTCAATTTAGAAACCCTAGTCACTTTTTCCCTTCTCTGTCAACCAACAAGGACGAATTAACGAGAGACATGAGGACTTTGGTAGAAAAGATGAGAGAGATGAGAGAAAAAGGGTGAAAAAGGAAGGGGAGAATTTGATTTTACAAAAATATCTTCAACTTAACAAAGTTTTTTAACAAAAAGATCAAAATGATGGATGGTGGATAATCTTAGGGACCACTTCTATTGATTTTAAATCTCAGGGACCAAAGTTATGAGTTATGCAAATATCAAGAATAATTTTGACTAAAAAGCCTATTTCTTATACGACGTCCTTTAGGTTGTCGTAAAAACTTCATTACCTTTTGAATGGAAACTTTAACGAAAAACTCCTGATACTGTTCACTTTAACGAAAAACCATATTTTTATACTAAAAAATTAATTCTGATACTATTCATTTTACCTTTTATTTTTTCCTTATAAGTTTCAAGCTCATTTCCTTTTTAAATTACAGTTACCGTTCCTGCGAACTCCCCATCTTCTCGACCTTCACCCATCTTCTCGACCTTCACCCACTCCGGTACTGTTTATTTTAACGAAAAACCATATTTTTACACTAAAAAATTAATTCTGATACTATTCATTTTACCTTTTATTTTTTCCTTATAAGCTTCAAGCTCATTTCCTTTTTAAATTACAGTTACCGTTCCCGCGAACTCCCCATCTTCTCGACCTTCACCCACTCCGGTAATCCTGAGCTCCACTCTACAACCATGAGCAGAGCATGCCGTGAGGCGGAGCGGCGAGTCCTCCGCCTCCTCCATGGCCACAAAACCCGAACCCATCTCCGCCAGATCCACGCCCACCTCCTCCGCCATGGCCTTGGCCAAGTCAATCAAGTCCTCGCCCACTTCGTCTCCGTTTGTTGGTCACTCAACAAAATGAGCTACGCAAGTCGCATTTTCAATCAAACCCACAACCCCAACATCCTCTTCTTTAATTCCATGGTCAAAGGATTCTCACTCTGCAAACCCTTCGAACAATCCCTATACATCTTCTCTCTCATGAAATACCAGAGCATCCGCCCCGACGAGTACACTTACGCGCCGTTGCTCAAGTCATGCTCGAACATTTGCGATTACAGACTAGGCCAGTGCGTCCATGGACAGATTCTAAGAGTTGGGTTTGAATGGTTTAGTTCGATTAGGATTGGAGTTATTGAGCTTTATGTAACTTGTGGGAGAATGGGGGATGCTGAGAAGGTGTTTGATGCTTTGTCTCAGAGAGATATCATCGTTTGGAATTTGATGGTTCGTGGGTTTTGCAAGACAGGTGATGTCGATAAGGGATTGTGTTTGTTTAAGCAGATGGGTGAACGGAATGTTGTTTCTTGGAACTCGATGATTTCGTGCTTAGCGCATAGTGGGCGAGATAGTGAGGTTTTGGAACTTTTTCGTGGGATGCTTGATCAGAGTTTTGAACCAGATGAAGCGACTGTGGTTTCGGTTTTGCCTGCGTGTGCTCATTTGGGAGCTGTTGATGTTGGGAAATGGATACACTCTTATACGGATGCTAAAGGACTTCTGCAAGAAGTTGCATCTGTAGGGAATTCACTTATAAACTTTTATTGTAAATGTGGAGACTTGGATGCTGCTTGTAGTGTTTTCGACCAAATGCCTCGCAAAAACGTTGTTTCCTGGAACACACTGATTTCGGGATATGCTTTTAATGGGAAATGTGAACTTGGGATCGGCTTGTTCGAGGAGATGATAAGCAAGGGCGAGAGACCTAATGATGCAACATTTGTTGGGGTTTTAACATGTTGTGCTCATGCAGGCTTGGTGGAAAAGGGAAAGGATTTGTTTGCTTCAATGATTGAGACTCACCAAATTGAGCCGAAACTAGAGCATTATGGATGCATGGTTGATGTTCTCGGGCGAAGCGGACGGGTGAGGGAGGCTCATGACCTGATTAAGAGTATGCCTACGAAACCGAATGCTGCTTTATGGGGTGCACTACTAGGTGCTTGCTCTACTCACGGTGATGTAGAGCTCGCGCAACTCGCAGCTAAAGCGCTTATCAATCTCGAACCATGGAATTCGGGTAATTATGTGTTGCTGTCAAATATTTATGCAGAAGAAGGCAGGTGGGACGAAGTTGAGAAAGTTAGAGATTTGATGAGGGAAAACTGCATCATAAAAGCACCAGGGCAGAGTGCAATTGGGTAGTCATGAAATTTACGTTCGGTGAAGATGTAACCTTCATTTTTCGACTTCCGACTTCCATAAACAAAGATGTTTTTTCTTTTAATTCTCTAAGAGAGCTGACATTGTAGCCATGTTCCGACCTTATTGAAAACTATAGCGTTGGACATAGAAGTTACAGAAGAAATCTACACACGAAATCTACACGCTATGTAGATTACACAAACGGTTGTCAAAATTTACAGAGAGATAGCTGCCAAGGGAACAACTTTCTCCAACGCACGTTTTTACTGCTAATCCTCGTCTGCAAACCACACGGCATATTCTACAAAGGCGATCAAATTGATCTTAATCTTCTACAATGTTGATGGTAAACTTCGATAGCATCTCTGGAACACCTGATATTATCGGTCCATACGTCTGTGGAACACAGTAGACTAATTCAATCTCCCATCACACGTTCAAACGCTTACAAACATGTACGGACACAAATTTTAAGATTCATTTACCTCGTTGTTTTTGGCGATCTGGCACAAGGGAATAGCAAGCAGCTTTTGGTTTTTTGGCGCAATGAACCTCCGACAATCTGGTAACTGCACAACGTAGAGTTTTGTGCACTCCTACATAATGACATAAACATAAGAAATCATGCTTCTTGGCATCCAGACGACGCACCCTTGTTAGGAGGGGAAACACATTAACTGATGAGTCGATGACATAATATGATACTTCATGCCCAATATTATACATCAAGGGAATGCTACGATCAGTTGCACACCCAGGCGGGCAGATCCTAGCCGCAAAGCACAGCCAAATCAGCACCAGCGTGTTGCCAACTGATCCTAGCACCCCGCTATACACCAATTATTATGATCTTGACAGATTGGTTGCCACGTCGATTATTCAGTTAACTGTTAACTACCTCATGTTAGAGGGAGACCGAGCGCGTTACCTTTGGGCTTTCAACTCTACTTGGCAAGTCCCGGCAGAGCAATGATTCGAAGTCGTGCCTCCACCATGCCCCAAGACATTCCCCAACCTAAACATTGAAACAATTTACACCAACAATTTTTCAACTCGAATACCACCCGAAAACAAAACAACATATTTCCATGTTCCCTACCTCCCAAGGAATCCCATCACCATCAGCATTGATACATAGCTTCCTCGACAGCTTACGTTTCAATCCGTCGATCTCTGCGAGCTCAAACAGATTCCATTTTAGTAAAACCTCACAAGATTTTCAAGTCCTTATTTCGACGAAACTGATGAGTTAAATTCACCTGATTCGCCGGGTCTTAAGCGGCCCCCGGGCAGCTTAAAAATGCAGTTTCTTATTTGCAAGAGCAGCACATGAGGATGTTTGAACAACTCAACCTGAATCATGGTGAAGGCAATATCAAATTTACTCACATTTCGATATCGAAATCCCTCGCCCCCCGTAGTTTACATTAGATTAATTAGAATATTGCTCGAATAAAAATAAATAAATAATAAAAAATGTTGCTTGATAAGAACAAAGAACCAACCAGAATAACTGCTTCCACACAAGTCCTCAATCCATAAGCAGCATAACTATAGTTCAACAAGCACAAAACCCAAATTAATATTTCTTTTTTTTTTAAGCAAAAATTGATGAAAAGGAAGGAAACCCAATTGAAAATACACAAATAAATAAATAAATAAAAACCCAAGAAAAAAAATATAAGTACTTGGACTTTAATCTGTGAAGACGATCGGCCGGAGCTTCGACCTTGACAGGAATGGCTTCCTTGGAAGCGAAGTAGTAGCTGCTGAGAGGGTATATGTCCAGCGTACGGCTCTGATCATCGTTGTCACGATGATCAAGACCGTTGCTGTCTGACACGTGTAAGGAACCCCTTTCTTCCCCCATTTTTCAAGTGTCCCTCCTCTCTGGAATTCTTGTGAAGTGAAGCACTGATAGGAAGGGAAGAACTGAAATTTCAGGCGCAGGAGGAGAAATAAATAGGAAAGGAGAGAGAGGAGGAGAGAGAGAGAGAGAGAGAGGGGAAGGGTCGCCTGTGTACGGAGTTTGGGAACGAATTCTTGTGTCGTCTCTCGAACGTGGCGTTCCGGGGAGACCTGGATAATTGGCTATTTGGCTACTTCTCACCAGTGAGAGAAGAACAACTTCAAGAAGTGGGATATACCGCACCGTGTCGTTTCGTGTCCACTTTAACGATGTCACGTGGAAAAAATTCATTCACGTTTTTTATTTACACGAGATGCTACAATAACAATATAATTGTGCCATATCGAAAAATCATGTCTTTGGTTTTTTTGGCACAAAACATCAGGGTAGCAATATGTTGTATATGTGTGTTATGTAGGAAGGTGGTAGGGGATTTTTCATGGGCTTGAATACGTTTTTGGTGTTTTTTTGTGGGTTCTTTGGGTCCATATACGAAGCTTGATTTGCTTGGTGACCCAATAAAATTCCACCAATAAATGTAAATTTCGTTTTTGCTTTTAGCCACAAACAATAATGTAAATTATGCCATTTCAATTTTCTTTGTGAAAAATGTTTGTACCATACTTGACTAATCCCGAAACTACTGAGCACCGATCAACGTTATACTGTCAATGACCTAGAAGAGTTTCCCTCCAACCAGGAGGCCAATCACAGTGCGACACGTGTCGACATCAGAAACCAATCATAGCGCGACACGTGTCGACATCAGAAGTCAATCATAACACGACACGTGTCAATGTTAGAATGAAACTAGAAACTCTCTTCTATAAATAGAGATCATCCTCTCACAATATTTCCGAATGTCATTTCTACTAAATCATTCATTAGTACTCACTAAAGGAGAGCTTGAACCTATGTACTTGTGTAAACCCTTCATAATTAATGAGAACTCCTCTACTCCGTAGACGTAGCCAATCTGAGTGAACCACGTACATCTTGTGTTTGCTTCCCAGTCCCTATCCATTTACATACTTATCCACACTAGTGACCGGAGCAATCTAGCGAAGGTCACAAACTTAACACTTTCTGTTGTACCAAAGTCCTCACTGATTTTGTGCATCAACAAAAAATGTAACTATTAAATTGGATGTAAAAATTGACAAGATTTAAATAATGTGGATGAAGGCATTTCTGATTTCAGATGGAGAAGTGCACATAATGATAATCGGTAAATACAAGATTTAAAAAAAAAAAAAAAGGATCAGCTCGTCTAGTCCACTTTCGTGAGGATCAAGAAGGTTCATAGAGACATTTCAATCTTCCACTGGTCACCCTCGTGTGATTCACCAACGTCAGGAATCGAACCTAAGACGCGTCTTGTAAAATACAGACTTGAATTCGTTCCCAACCACTTGACCATCTCGTGGTAGTTAAGGCAAAGAAAAGATTTGATTTATGCCTCTACATTTAACAAGTTTATAGTTTGGTCCCTTGAGATTAGATATTTTCAATCAAATCACACCAACTTGCAAGTTCAATCAGTGATCATTGAAACTCAAAAATATGATGAATAGTTAACCTAATTAAGAAAAACTCAATATTCATCGATTCTTGCAAGCCAAGTAACTTGAAAAGATGTATAACCCCATATCCCCCTTGCTTTAGATGATGAAAATTAATTAATTAAGGAAATTTGCATATTGATCAGAAAATTAAAAGTTAATTAGCGGGTGAGAAGTTTAGAAGATAATGATTCATTTAACAACCAAAATATTATTGTTAGATTATTAATCATCCTTTAATTTGTTGAGCAAGCTAATCACCAAGCCAAACCAGATGGCTCTTCCTCTACTTCTTCCCATTGATTCAGGTTTACTGCTCTAGAATGTTCTTGTTCTATTTGGGAAGTTGTTGGAGTGTCATGCAACCATAATGTAATCTTGATTACAATTTGGGTCACAAAACAAGGGAAACCCACAATTAATTATCATGCGACTTGTTTTGGGTAGTAATCAAGGTTATAAAAAGTATTAGGCACTAGTCAGACATTGGACATGAGCTTAATGCTTAGGGGCCTAGGCAGGTTTTGTTTTTTAATTTAAATATATTAGTATAACAATAAAAACATATAAATAAGTGGCTACAATTGATTGAATAGGAAAAAATGAAATATGTATTCAAAGTTATGTTACAAGAAAACTATCTTCAAGCCTTTGCCTAAAAAGATTAAAAAAAGAAAAAAAAATTGAACCGCCTAGAGCCGTCTAGACCACCTAGGTAGCCACCTAATGCTACCTAAAAGGTTCACCGATTTTCTAAATGTCTAGACCCTAACCATAGCGCTCAATCTTTGCCTAACGCCTAGATCCCGCCTATAATGCTTTTCAAAATAGTATTAACTTATATGGTGGATCCCATATTGATGTGTTAATATGTTGTGAGCTTTTTAACCACGTTGATAATATGGATGCACTAATTCCATTTAGGTCAAAAAAATTAAAAATTTATATTAGAAAGCAATAAAATTATAAAAACAAGAAAAGTATAAAGTAGTAAATGTTGGTTGTATCATATTCTTGGAGCGTTATTCATATATGGACCAAAATATATGTCTTACCATCACAATTCACAAGAAATTATCATCCATTTATATAATCAACAGATATACAACTCATATTTGCGATGATAACCGTAAATTAGAAAATGTTTTTTGCATTACATTCTGGGGTATATTTCTAACTTATATATTGATCAGAAATATAAATCTCACCATCACATTTCACAAGAGATTACAGTCCATAGCATAGTGAATGAATAAATATATATATATATACACACACACACACAAAAATATGCATAAAGTATGCATTGCACACACATTTTTTAAAGTTGGTTAAGGTGCAATTTTATAAATTTTGTAAACAAAATGATATGAAAATTGACGATTGAATTATTACTTAAATGTTGATTAACGTGCTTATTTTTTATCGATGATGTATAATTTAATTTGTAAATTTAATCCATAAATTTAGTCTACCTAACATTATTCTTGTTGTAAATCGTTATTCCTAAACTTGGACTTCACTAAGCATCCAACCCGGCATTTTATATAAATTGAAATTTAAAAATTAAAGATAATATAGAATAGTAGAAAACACTCTTTTCTTGGTCGGATAAAAAAAAATTGTTTAAAAGCATAATTTCTTTCCGATTATTTTGCCGGCACAAGGCGGCGACAATTAATTTTAAACCGGAAAATTAAAAAAAAAAAAAGAAAAAAGAAATGGAAAACGACATGTCAACCGTGGGCGCTCTAAAGCCCTAAGTCCCCCACCCAATCAAATTGCGTAGTTTCGCAGAAAATTGAGAGTCAATAATGGGCTTGGATGTCTTTTTAACTATTACCCAATCAAAATCGTTGATTCCTCTACCAACCATTCCTCAAATAATTTTAGCAACTACTACTACAACTAAAAAATATATATATTATTAATACAAACAAAAACCATTAAAATAAAAAATAAACTAAAAAATAGTTGAAAAAAATAAAAAAATATAAAAAAGAATATAAATAATGTATTTATAACTTGATAAGTATGTAAATTGTATTTTATAATTTTAAAAGACAATAGACAAAATGGAGGAGTCAATTTTTCTGCACTGTAGGTAGCCTTGCTTGACCTGTACGACAGTACAAGACCTACCTCTCTCTCTCTCAAATACGCAAAGAGCCCCTCTCAACTTTTGACCTGTGCAGGAGAAATTTCATTGGAATTTTGCTCCCCAGTTCCTGCAAATCATTGGGCAAGTTCCTCCTCCTCTTCCAGCTTTCTATCTGCACATTTTCTTTCAATTTTTATGATTGATTTGTTTGAACTGTTTTTCTCTTCTGGGTTTGTGGGGATTTGCATAAAGTTCAAAGCTTTTGCATACCTTGTTGTTAATACTTGATGGGTTTTCAATAATTTGTTTTGACATGGTTGTGTGTGCTTGAATTTTGGATTTCTGAAGTTACGAGCTGAATTGGGATGATTTGGAATATTTGTGGAAGGTTTTGCAGCACATGCATAGATAATTAGATGTAGTTAATAGTTAATGAAATTTTTTATGACACAACTCAAAAGAACTAAGGTTTTGTTGCCCCAAGTAGTTGTCCATCATAGTACCATGTAAAACCAGTGTTGTATTTCCACCTGAGCTGGAGAATAGCAAAATGTTGCTGGGTTCAGTTCCGGTTTAAGTGAATGATCCCGGAGTATACTTTAATTTTGTACTGAATGAATTTGCATGACCCGAGAAAGGTGATATGTGAATCTTCTTTAACCATAGTAAGGGGAGTGCTTGTTTAGCTACAATCAATTGCTTGTGTTCAGTTCTGGTTTAAGATAATGATCCCGATTCCCGTAGTATGCTTTAATTTGTAAGGAATGAATTTGCTTGCCATGAGAAAGGTGATTTCTGGATGATTTTTAACCATAGTAAGGGGGAGGGCTTGTTTAGCTACAAGTAGTTGCAAACTTTTGTTCAAGTTTTATGTTTGATATGCGAGCAAGTAAAGGTTTTCTCAAAGATTATGAACAAAAAAAAAATTCCTGGATAAATTGGATCTGAACTGAAATTCTAATTTTGTGGAGCAGGAATTTTAAGGTGTGGTAACAGAAGTCAGGATTTCGGCCCCTCATATTCTTCTGCAATTCTGCTGTAGGACTCATGGATCAAAGTACTCGAACATCTCTTGAATACTTGGGCTTAATCTTTTTTGTATATGATAAATTATGCCTATATATTCACTTGTTCAGAACTATAACGATTAAGTTAGCATGATCAGTCATGATTTTACTACTTCCTTACTCTGATACAAGATTTATTGGTGTTGCAGATGCTTCGGGAGAGGGTTTGAGAAACGACCTTGAGCTGGTGAGATCATCATCTGAAAAGCATCTTGAACTTTTGAGACCATCAGCTAGATTAAGTACAATATTTAAAGGTAGGATCTTGTTTGGACATTTTCTTTAGCAAATCCTGTTTGAGTTTCGCAACTTATAAGTGCTTTTACAATTATCCGTGACAAGTATCAATCTTCCTCGCATGGACTATGCAATGTGTTTGTTCTATCAAATTGTGTTTTTTTGTCATTCATGCACTGTTTCCATCCATGATAGTTTGTTGTTTAGATAGCTTTTTAACTTAGTACTTAAAATGGAATGCCTCTTGTCGTATCAACTTCCAGCACCAATCAGCTTGTTTAAGACCTGTTAGCGGGAGAATGTATCGGCATGCTAGAATTGATGATTGTTTTAATAGCCTCCCTGATTAAACATTGGGCTGGGATGCAGTAGTAATTTAAAAATGTCATGAATCTGATCCAGGATGTATATAATTTATATTTTCTGTCGATAAACAAGATCTTTATAGCAACTGGATCTTTTATATCAACTGTTTATCCAGACAAGTGAGAGGTCTTATGGTCATGGTAGGGCAAGCAACAGAAGCTGCGGATCCTGAAAAGGGAAAATATACCTTAATTAGAGACGCAGATGACTTTCCATCAGGGATGTATGAGAAACAGCTTCCCTGCTTTGGCTGCGGGATAGGATGGTTTTCGTGAGTATCTTTAATTCCTCTATCCCTCCTTAGTTTTCATTATTCCTTGTCTCATTCCTGTTTTTTGCACTGCAGTTTTCTTTTAGGCTTCGTCTTCCCAATAATGTGGTACTATGCCACAGTTCTCTATTTTGGAAATTTCTATCGGAAGGATCCTAGGGAGCGAGCAGGACTAGCCGCCTCTGCAATTGCTGTATCTCTCTCTCTCTCTCGATTACGTGTTTCCATTCTAGCATGTTTCTACAGTTTAAAGTTTACATCTTCAACCATGTATCAGAGAATTAATTGGCATAATTATCCAATTGTTGCAGGCACTAGTTTGTTCTGTCGTGCTGTTGATCATGGCATTGTTTCGGATGTTCTAGATTTGCTCAATCGGAAGCGCTAGCAACATCTTCACAAGCATGAAGAAATCATAGTGGGATTGGAAGGGACCGTAAGAACACAAATATTGATTTTTTTTATTCCGGTTGAAAGGGTGGTAAACGAAAAAAGGAAAGGACAGATGAAAAGAACCTGGACTGTTCCCAAACAATTCTTCAGACGTCTAGATTACAAGCTTTGGATGATGTTGAGCTATCGTTTTCGTATTTTCATATTTGTATGAACAAATGAGGCAAGACGATATGTGTAAACATTGTAATTATACAGAATTTTGAAATACAGGGCTGTGTGATCTTTAATCCTTGAACGCATTTCAGTTGCCCAACCAGAATATAATATCAGCTAATGTACGAGCTCTTTACGAGCTTTCCACCACCGTGGCTCACTAAAATGACAGAAAATTAATGAGCCTCGTAGCGTGGACTTGTAATTAAACGAGGCCCTGAGCCCTCATTACAACACTAAGCACAATGTTTTATCGAATTTGGATCAAAATCCAATCCGTTGACGTGTCTAGCCGTGCTTGCAAGCAGCTGCTGTGACTCAATCGTCATCAGTTATGAGTAAACCCGTCGGAATTGATTGCCGGTCAGTCCTATACCAAAATCATCGGCTTTGTAGACTGTAAGTGCTTCCATTTGTAAACCCGTCGGAATTACTATCGCCGGTTGCCTGAAAACATAGTACCAGTAATGCTTTTTCATGTTTTTATTTGATCATCTTCTTGTTATTTTTATGACCTTGTTCGTGAACATGAAGTTTTAGATTAAGCTTCTCTCCAAACACACAAAACAAATGAAGAATGTCTGATTCATAGAGAATTGAAGAATTAATGACAAGGATATTTCTTCTGAAAACTTTTTTAAACAGAAGAAATGACATGAGAAATGTAGATATAACCTAAGCTCATCCGTGTCCTAGATTTGTAACTCTGCATTCGAATTTGAATTCAAACGAGGGGATAAACCACGGCCTGAAAGGGCTTCAAAGGAGAGGAAACTAGCTGAAATCCCCCAGTCACACTCCAGTTCAAACAGACCGTACTTCAATCCTTGGCCGCCAAATGAACATACTTGTTCTCGACTCTAAATTTGGAACTTGAACTGATCTGGGACCAAAGAATCAGTATCGTAAAAAATAATGTAAACGGGTGAGTCTGATGGCCAATTGATACTACTAGTTTGCAGATAATGAATAAAAAGGAAGAAATAAACATTGGATAGGCCGCAAACCTTGTGCTCAAACATATTACTCAATTTGGTTTCGTCATCTGTTATTCCGGATTCTTCAAGAGCCTTCATCACAAGTTTTTTCAATTTCCTCATCTTCAGGACTCCATCATTCTGCACCATGCATATAAAAAGCCGATTGAGTTTATATCGAATAACTGGCAATGGCATAAAGCAAAATGCGTGATAAATAAAAGTGAATCTTTTCTTATGATAGTGTTCATTTCACTAATCTGTATATAAAGGAGAATATTACTATCTTCTTCTTTGTTTGAGGGTGGCCTGATGCATTGCACAATTTTAGGGTAAAGCAAGAAACGATTATTTAGATTTCATACCAATTTTAGGGTTGATGTAATCAACTTCTTCCACTTTATATTCGTAGTGAGTTCTCCCTCTTTCCCATTTGCTTCTGTCTTCCCACTCTGAACCACTTTGCCATTTCCTACTTCATACGATGTACTATCCTTAGTCTTCTTTGTTGATTCATCGTTCTTGGATGCGTCAAGCTTTCTCTTTTTATTTTTCAGTAAGGCATCATTCTCTGCTTCAGAAATTTTATGCTCAGGATTGACCCTAGAAGCATCATGCGACTTAGGTTCCTCTATTTGTTTATTCTCAAGAACTTCACCCTTTGGTGTGTCCTCGGGTGGAGGTTTTGTATCCGGAACAGATTCTTCCGGCTGCTTAGGTTGTTGCTTTGCAGCATGGATTGCTCGGGCTTTTGCCCTGTGCTTCTTTCCTTCAGCATGCAGCATCAGGGTCTGCTCACTGGTAGCTTTAGTATTGCAAAGACTGAAAGTACACAGATATATCCAGCAAACTATCAGATCACAATGTCAATTTACATCCTTTTCTTCTCCGACTCTTCCATGTTTCATGTCGACAACCGACAATGCATTTCCTCAAAAGTTCGAAACAAACTAATTCAGCAATTTGAAACCGTCACCTTCAAAGGGCAGCGATAGCACGAATGCATATAGAATTTAACAAAAAAACATAAAATGCATTATGCATCGCCATGGGAAATTCCCAAGTTCACGGCAATCATTTGATACGAAATCTAAATAAACATGCGAATAAAAGATTACCAACAAAATAAGATGAGATGAACATACCTGCAAAACCATGGAAATCGCTTAGTCAACCCGACAGTAATATCAAAATCGGGTTGCTGCTTTCCGTCCTTGTTGGGCTTGGCTCCCCCACCATTCAAAGGTTTCCCTTGTGCCCCCTTGGGACCGTATTTTTCCTGAAAACAAAAACAAAGGAATCAACTCTACATCCCGGTAAAATTATAATCCATAACAAGTTCAGCAAAGTAATATCACCCCCTTTTACCCAATTCATTAATTTTTCAAATCCAAACCCTTCAATTCAAAATATTTTCCAATCGAAACCGTTCGATTCATAATCCAAACAATGAACACTCACCGCCTCAGTCATACATTGTGTGTGACCCTGAACGGTTTCTCTCCCAAATGTCTCTCCGCAATCAATGCACGAAAACTGAAACATGAACAGCAACAACAGCGACAATATTAGCAACCCAATAAGTCAAAAGATCAAAACTTAATAAATGCCCAAATTTTCTCGGCAACCAAACAGCCTTGGGATTAGGAAAGTAGAGACCTTTCGTGCAGAGCAGCACTTGAAGTGACCCAGAACCTTGGGTTTCTTGAGGTTGTCCCCGCAATCCTCGCACTGAAACCACACCATCTCTCTCCGATGAAGCTGTATGCAACAAACCCAAGCTCAAATCCAGAAGAGACAGAAAGCTCTGCGAGACTACGACCACGCGACCGAAGGGGTGATCCAAGTTCCGGAGGGTTTAAGGCATTTGCAGGAGGATTTAGAATTAGGGTTTTGGGTTGGAAGTTTTCAATACCAAAACGACTGCGATCCGCTTCGTTTCATTTTACATGATTGGCGACATGTTTCGGCCCACATGTGAATGATAAGTGGAGGCCCAAACTTTGAACTATGTCTATCTCAATTTAAGCCCATTCTGCTGCATAATTTTTTGTACAACACTTTTTTTTTTATGGTAGTGCTATTCACACACGTCTTTTATCTTTTATATACCTTTGTTAATTAGGCCGAATAAGGAAGGTTTAGTTTTTTCTCCCATTCTACTCGCCTTTTTTTTGTTTATTGATTCTCTTCAATTTAATCGATCCAACGGCTAGAAATTGAGAGATGTTGGGTGTATAGATAGTACCACTCTTTTATTATTATTATCATAGCGATATTCTAAGCTAATTTAAACGACTGAGTAAAGAAACGAACACTCTGGTATATGTAACTTGGCTATGTCCATTCTTGCTTTAAATATATATAACACTTTGAGAAGTGCTGGGGGTAAGCGGAGATTCTTGATTATTGATATATGTAAATTAAAAAAAAAATGGTGCTAATTTTCAAGAAATCTTTTAGTAGAAATTAGCTCCCAACTCAACTCCAATTAGCTACTAACACATAGTAATTAGGAAAAAAAACTATAATTCATCCCTATTAAAATTAATGGTTATATTCTTGCATTAACTCTTTTTTTTTATTCTCCAAAAGTCCATTTTTTCAGGAGTGTTCTTTTTGATAATTTGGATATCAAATTGGGTCGCTTCATTCTTGTATCATAGTTTGTTTATTTATTTTTTTATTTTTTATTATTAAAAATACAACTTTCCATCCAAAGTGGGTTCCAAAATCCCAAAAAGTAGTGAAATTTTGGTTTTTAGCAATGATTTTGTTGAGCTTTTAAGTACTTAGCGCTCTCTTAAATATCAGCATGATAAAATATCCATCAATCACTACTATCAATTTGTATTATTTTTCTTCAAAAAGATATATTTTGTTATATTAGATATTAGATTAGTCACTGACAGAGTTCGAATCCACGCCGTCAATCAATTTGTATTAGCATGAAGTTTATCTTGCGTTAAATTTGGAGAGAAGCAAGAAATTAGGTATTGCAAAATGGCTCTCATATTTTCATTTATCTTGACTGTCTTTTAATTTATTCAATTTAGAAACTACGAAAATATCATATGAAAAAGGAGAGATCGAGATCGGTAATCACTTACTTTTGCTAATTAAGTAAAAACTCAAGACTTTAAAACAATGGAGATCTCCCCAATATTCACGTGAAGAAAAATATAAAGAAAAAGTTCGAAAAAAGAAAAGGGTGTCCCTAAACGCTAGCTAATAGCCATAGCCCTCCCTTTGGGGAGATTTGGACGACAATTGGTCGTGGTGGCCATGGCAGCTGTCCCTTTCTGCTGTTTAAAAAAGTTGCTTGCAAGCCATGGGAGCTGTGACCTCTCTATCTAAGGACATGCGTGGGACATGGGATAAGCCAAGAGCACTAGGATTCGAATTATAGCTTTTTTCCCACAGCACAGCTTCTGCTTATTACTTATGCAGGAAAACTTTCTGCAACCAACATAGTTATGCGTGGGACATGGAAAGCCATAATTAGAAGACAGTCTGCAATCAACATAGTTAGAGAAAATTATGCAGGAAAACTGGTCACGTTAAAAGCCGTATTACCAATAATGGATTGTTAAGGAAAAGTAAAAAGGGAGAGATTAGTGAGAGATTCCTTTGGTGCCTTTTCGTTTGTCTATCTTATGCAATCAGAAATTCAAGTCACGTGATGAAAGCTAAACACGGAAAAATATACGTCACAACACACTTGCATGTCTTTATTCTCATCATGGACATAGCTTTACATAAACCCTAAAACCGACTAGAAAACAGCATATTCTCCAGAATTAAGTGTCCTTTCTCTGAAAAAGGAAAAATTATTCTTTTGACAGATTGTCCCCCAAGAGGCATAGTCTTGGTAGTTTCATGGTAAAAGGGTATAATTTCAATTATTGCAACCACGCTCCCATCATTCAAACAAAGAGAGAAGAGAAGAAGAAAATTGGTTGACTCGTACGTACACGTCCTCTACTGATCTGTCTCCACCTGCAACTTGCTTGCCTTAGAAATACTTCAAATTAATATTGTTATCTTTCTTTCTTTTTTAAATCAGTTTTAATTTATTTTGATTTTGATTTTGAGGAATTGGCATATCAGAATATTAATTTGGATAAGAGATTGTCGGCAACGAAACTCAAACCTAAGTTTTGGTCTGGCGTAGAAAATGATTCTTACCAACTCAACGTTGCCATTTGTCGGTAGACTACTAGTTGTTAGCAAACAACTATTGTTGAGTGATACACACTACCATACAATTATAAAAACTAGTTAAGTTATGTGTATGCATTAAGCGTGATTAAGTTTTGTATTAGTCCGAATGTTTCAATCTAACACACCCTCATGATTCACATTTATAGTTTTGTTTCTATTTGATTATACATCTTCATATCAATCTTATCTCTATTATTTAACCACACGAGCACGTATCTTGGTCATAAAAGATAATATTTTTGTAATACATCATGTCTACATAAGAAAATCTACATGATTAATAGTTCAGATCAATGCATGTAACACGTCGATTCTTAGTCAAAATAACGTCCTATCACTGACCAAATTTAATACCAATAGAAGATATTTGGGTAAATTACATTTTACCCCCTCATGTTTTGGGTTGATTTCAATTCCTTACAACATCTTTAAAACATTTCACTTTCATACCTCACCTACTATTTTATTTCAATATAGTACATTCGTTACATTTTCCATCCATTGATCCATCAAAAGCTGACGTAGCTGCTAAATTTATGTCACGTGGAAAATTTTATTTTTATTTTTATTCATTTAAAATATTACTATTTATTAAAATTATAAAAAAAAAAAAAGCAAACCTATCTTCTTCCCGAGCCCTTCCCATTCCCTGCAACCCTAACACCCTATCCCCCCACCCCTACCTCCTTCCCCGCAACCCCCCAACCAAAACCCACTCGTCTCCTACCTCATCACCCCCACCCCCTTTCTCCTTTATCTCATATGCAATCTCACCCACCCTTCTTTCGTCTACAACTTGCACCCACCATCCCTCAGGATTTTAATCTCATCGCTGCCCTGGTCCATCACGTCACATATCTAGACGACGGTGGTAGACCCTCCGACCCATTTACCCGACTCCGAGTTGATCAATTTAGCAAGCCTCAGCGATTCCTTGGTCTTTTCCAAGTCTACTTGGAAATCGTCGATTGGGACCAAACGATCTTACGGGGGGTAATAGGCAAGGATTTAAATATCGGTAATATCGGAAATATCGGTAGTCCGAAAACACGGAAATATCGATGGAAATATCGGGATAATATCGATATCGATAAAAATTACATGGAAACCACGGAAATTGTAAGAAAAACTTGGAAATTTTTATTGAAACTTTGCAGGATGTTTATTTAGTCAATTATCTATTAGTTTATCACAAAAAATTGGAAGGAAATGCATTGCATGATGGATTTAACATTATCAAGTTGATTATATAGCGAGCTGACAAACATTGTGAGTGTAGAAAATATGTAGAAAATTGTCTGAAATTGTAAAAAGTGATTGAACAATTAGTCAGGTGAGTCAGATCACACAGGCACACACACACACAGACATGCCATCACACACGCACACAACACACGCACACAGATCTCACACGCATACGTCTCTCTCTCTCTCATTCTCAATCCTTCTCTCTTTTTCTCTGAGGCGCCTGAGCTCTCTTCTCCCCCTTCTCTATTCTCCCACACACACACAGATCTCCCACTCTCTCAGACATGCCATCACACACGCACACAGATCTCACACACATACGTCTCTCTCTCTCTCGAATTCTCGATCCTTCTTTCTTCTTCTCTAAGGCCTGAGCTCTTTTCTCCCCCTTCTCTATTCTCCCACACACACACAGATCTCCCACTCTCTCGATCCTTCTCCTACACACACACACAGAGACCCAAGGTCTATCGATCATTCTCCCACTCTCTCGATCGTTCTGCTCCTCAGTCCGACAATCTCGAATCCCTCTTCCTTTTCAGAAACCAGCTTTCTGGGTGTCGCCACCGTTGATCATGGCTCTGGCGAAGTCGGAGTTGGCTCAGTCGTCTGTGGCGGTGCGCCGCTGAGCAAGGAGTTGGCTCAGTCATCTGGTTCGTCTTCGACTCGAAGAAAACAAGTTTTCAGGTGAGATTCCATTGAAACCCTAAACTCTAAACCGACATCACATATGTTGAATCGTTGATTACCTCTTGCATCCGTGAAATTTGAAGTTTATATGTGAAATTGAAGTTAAAAATCGTGTTTTTGCAAGGTTTTTGGGACGAAATCGGCTCGGGAATAGGCACACCATCTTCGGCGTTCTTCTCCGACGTTCGGCTCGGAGTCTGATTGCACCGTTCAAAAAAATATCGCGATATTTCCAAAATATTGCGATATTTTGACGAAAACCATTCGGATACCTATTTAAATATCCATTGCGCAAAAAACCGATAATATCGGCATTTTCTTCCATGGTAATAGGTTTGCAGTGGTGGGCGCAAGGGCATGAGATCATCGGAGCTGTGGCAGGCAGGGAGGGCATTCTGGTGCTTTTGAGGGGAGGCGGGAAATGAATGATTGGGGGTTTGGGGTAAGAAGAAGAGGCTTCTGCTGACGAAGAAGAGGCTTCTGCTGACGGAGAAGTCGACGAAGGTATCAATGAAAAAGTAGAGGAGATTGGGATTATGGGTTGTGTTTGGTTGCTGAGAAAATGATAGGTTTTTTTTTTTTTTTTTTTACCTTTTCTTTAATTACTTATTTTTAAATGCATAAATTTTTTTTTTTTGCCACGTAGTATAAATTTGGCAGTCACGTCAACACAAATGTGGATTTCATATTTGCCACGTCATCACTTAACGGTTTACTTAACAGATTTTCTAACGGATGTATGAAATTGAAATAAAATAGTAGGTGAGGGATGAAAGTGAATGTTATAAAAATGTTGTAAGGAATTGAAATCGACCACAAACCTGAAAGGGTAAAATGTAATTTACCCAAGATATTTAGTGCAAGTAACTCAAGAGAGTAAAGTAATGAGTTGTGCGCTTGAGAGGTTCTTAGCTATCTTAGTTTCAAATAAGAGCCAAGTAATGAGTTGGACGTTTAAAAGATTCTTAATTATCTTCAATTGCCTACTTTTTGTATCTCTTTCATCAAATATCATGTTTGATGTAACTCAATGGTTTTTTGTTAAAAAGAAATTAAGGAACGTGCATTATTAATTTCATTTTCAAACGGCATAGTAGTATCTCTGTTAGCAAAAACCCCAACTCATCAAAAGCAATGCAATGCAAGTAAACAAAGCCTAAAGACCCACCAAAATCACCACCCCCCCACCTACTTGTCCCAACTCACCATCACCACCACCACCTCCTCCACCGCCTCCTCCTCCTCCTCCATGCCTCCCCGCCGCTCACCGTCGCCGCTTCTAAGTTCACCGTTGCTCATCATCCTGTTCCCCATTATCGTCTCCATCATCCTCTTCTACGCCATCCCTCAATTCCTCTCCTTCACCTCTCAACTACTCCGCCCCACCATTTCCGTCAAGAAAAGTTGGGACTCCCTCAACGTGTTTCTCGTCATTTTCGCAATCCTATGCGGCGTCTTCGCCAAGCTAAACGACGACGCATCATCCTCTGAAGAAGATCGCATTCCCGACACTAATTTTCCGCACCCCTTGGACAACATTCGTACAAACAGAGCCAACATATCGGAATCGGAATCGGAATCAGCTGCATCCCTACTTCCGCAACAATGGTTTGGATATTCAAATAGCAGGACGCCTGAATCCGGCGGCGACCGGTTGAGGAGGAGCAGCAGCTCCTACCCGGATCTGAGGCCACTCGGGCAGGACTCGGTGTGGGAAACTCGGGATCACAACAAGTCGCAGTTTCCCTTTTTCGACGACTTCGAAATCGGCGATTACCATCGTGTCCCGCCAGTTTCACACCAACGGCGACCCAAGGAGTACTCTGATGTAATTAAGGAGATTCCGGTGGATACTTTTTTGCTTCACTCTTCTCCTCCGCTGCCATCCAAGCCTTCGACGCCACCACCTCCGCCTCGTAATCAGAAACCGAGGAGGACGTATCAGACTGTTGGACGGAGAGATCAAAAGACAGAGAAAGCAGTTAATAAAAATGTTATTAATGAGGCTGAGGAGTTGGAGAAAGTTCGAACTCCGCCACCGACGCCGCCGCCTCCGCCGCCACGTCCGGCCGCGCCGCCGTCACCAATTCGGATTAGATCAGACCCGAAGCGTAGAAAGAGCAATGTGAAGAAGGAGATAGCGATGGTTTGGGCTTCGGTTCTGTCTAACCAGAAAAAGAGGAAGAAGCAGCACAAGGTCACGGGTACCAGAAACTTTTACGAAACCGCTGCTTCTCCGCCTGAACACGAACAAGAAGACCGAGAAGGGGAATATTTTTTCACAAGACAGCCACCATCCCCACCTCCTCCACCGCCCCCTCCGCCGCCGCCACATTCTGTGTTTCACAATATATTCAAAAAGGGAATGAGCAAAACTAAGAAAGTTCACTCCGTCTTGACGCCTCCGACTCCGCCACCACCGCCACCGCGGCCGGCATTGCTAAAACACAAGAGTTGGAATACTAGTTTCCCGCTGGCACCACCAACTCCGCCTAAACAACCGCCTCCGGCTACTTCCCGGCCGCGACACTCCGCCTCCAGTGGCCGGCCCCCGTTGCCAACAAAGGCGAACAGTTATTTACACGATGGGAATGTGAATAGCGGCTGCCGGAGTCCGTTAATTCCTGCGGCGCCTCCACCACCTCCACCGTTTAAAATGCCAGAGCTGAAGTTTTTTGTGCGCGGGGATTTTGTTAAGATACAGAGCGCGCAGAGCTCGCGCTGTGGATCTCCTGAACTGGAGGACGTTGACGACGTTGATGCATCTCCACGTAAGGAAGAAGACATGAAGTCAAAGTCAGAAGTACAGAGTAAAGTCAACGCGATGGACGGCGGCGGCGGATCCTCCGTGTTCTGCCCTAGCCCAGATGTTAATACGAAAGCTGATAACTTCATTGCTAGGCTGAAAGATGAGTGGAGGCTTGAGAAGATGAACTCAATGAGGCAGAAAAAGAAGATGCCCTAATCTGCATGCACTGGTTTTTTACTTACCATTTTCTACTTTTACATTCACCTTCAATCTTAACACTTTGATATAGAATTATGGTACGTTCTGGCAAAGAAAAGATGGAAGGCATTAGGGCTCTGATTGTGGTTTTTTTTAATCTTTTGGAGCACCGCTAAAATTCTCGCATACAATCAGTGATATATGTGACGAGAGATATAAGAAGAGGGGAAATATATTCCCGGTTATATTGAAGATCTATCGGAGGTTTACGTGACTAGAGATATAGGAATCGGCAGGATTATATTTCCAGTTACACTTCAGAATCTTTCTCTTATGTAGATACATAGTGATGTGAATTGGATTCTGGGTTTATTGTGTTTTGATGATCTGTGTGTGTATTGGACACAACGGGTTCTGAGTGGCTTTATTTTTTCCTCACCTCTTGGAGCTCGTACTATATTTGTATGGATTGGGGGATCTAAATGTGTTCTTGTTCACCTCTTAGAGCCATTTTGTATTAAAGTACAATGTATATGTATATGGGTTTTCAAGTTTGACCCAATTTTGTTTTCGTGTGCAATCTTTTTTACATGTTTGTAAGACGAGAAATTTGCATGAAATGAATTCAGTACAATATTTTGTTTCTCTAAACATACATGTAGCAAGTTGTATACAATCCTCTCATCCTAGTTCTTATTACATTGCAGATATAGCAATGATTGCTATTGCACATTTAACAATATTTTATTATTATTGTAAGAGGGAGGAAAGAAAGTTCGAAACAATTACATTAATTTAGGAAATAATGAAGTTTTGAACCCCAAATGCATATCCTTATTCTATATTATGAAAGGGAAAGATGAACCAGTATTTTATTAGATTAAACGAACTAAAGCACTTACAGAAAAAGCTCTTCCGAGCAAAAGAACTTCCTTCGAAATCAGTCTTGAACGGACCTGACGATGGGCTCAAATAAACAAATACGTAAACAAACCCACTCAATTACGGGCCGAAAATTTCGGTAAGGCCCAATCTCAACACCAGCTAAAATCTTAGCCCAAATATAAAACCCAAAAAACTCCGGGAAACAGAAAATCGAAGACTGAAAGGAGTGAGAAGTAAGCAAACTTAGGGTTCTTGTCGTTTCACCAAAATCAATCGCCAATGAAGCTCGCCGGACTGAAATCAATCGACGACGCGCACGACGAGTCGGTATGGGCGGTGACGTGGGTCCCGGCCACCGATTCCCGACCTGCTTTGCTGCTAACCGGGTCGCTGGACGAGACCGTGAGGCTGTGGCAACCGGACGAGCTGGTTAACCGGGGCAAAATGACCGGCCACTGTCTCGGCGTGGCCTCGGTGGCGGCTCACCCCTCCGGCCGCATCGCCGCCTCGGCCTCGCTCGATAGCTTCGTGAGGATCTTTGATGTTGACACCAACAACACCGTGGCCAGTCTCGAAGCCCCGCCGTCTGAAGTGTGGCAATTACGATTCAATCCCCAGGTACATTTTTGCTTTGTTGGAAAATTTGGATTTTTAATGTTTTTTTGTAAAGTTTTGTATATAAATGTTGGTTTAGTTGTTTTTGTATGTATGCATTTAATTCTGCTTTGTTTTTTTTTTTTTTATTTACTTGGGAAATTATGCTAAAATTATAATTGGGGATTTAGAATATGGTGTATTTTGCTTGGATGCTTTACTAATAGTGTCAGAGATGCCAATTGGAGACAAGCTTACCTACGCGGGATGCGTCGGTATCTCAAGGCAATCACACTCTGTTACCCGGCTTTATAATGCCATGCTTCTTAAATTTTCCACGTGACATTGTGTGATTGACTTTGGAGATACCATTTGAAATCTCTCACGTGACATTGCGTGATTGGCTTGGAGACCATCAAAATGGTATCACCGTTCCAGGACTTTTCTTCCCGAAAAGTTGTTGATCTCTTTTAGTTCTTCATTGTTAGACTGATATTCAAAGTGGACCAAATTGAGAACCATCTTTTATTTTTGCTAAATTAAGTTTGGAGGCGCTGAATTGAAGTATTAAGCAAACCCTTTTGGTTATATTCAAATGGCTTTTTGGCCAAAATGGTCCATGAAATTTGTCTAACTTCTCACTTTGGTTTTTGAGATTTGAAATCGATAGAAATGGTCGTCCATCATTAATCATTTTGGTCATTTGGTGAAAAATTATGTTAAATAATAATCAAAATAACAAAATTACCCTCAATATAGGCCAAAATGATTTGACAAAATTTGAGAGTATTTTTGTCCTTATTTAATAGAGATTTTATATGTGATGACTAAAATGATTGATTGTGGACAAACTCAAGGACCAATTCTATCGCTTTCAAATCTTAGGGACCAAAGTGATGAGTTATGCAAATCTCAGGAACCATTTTAGCTAATAAAAAGCCTATTCAAATTGATGCTAACTTGTGGCTCTTGATCAGGGTACCATGCTAGCTGTGGCAGGTGGGGGAAGTGCATCCGTCAAAGTTTGGGACACTGCCACATGGGATATAGTAGCCACATTGTCGATTCCTCGCCCCGAAGGAACCAAGCCAACTGACAAAAGCAGCAGCAAGAAGTTTGTGCTATCGGTTGCCTGGAGTCCTGATGGGAGACGCATTGCTTGTGGGTCGATGGATGGAACTGTTTCTGTTTTTGATACAGATCGCGCCAAGTTCCTGCACCACCTGGAAGGCCACTTCATGCCAGTGAGGTCTCTCGTGTTTTCTCCCGTTGAGCCCCGGTTGCTCTTCACAGGCTCGGATGATGCCCATGTGCACATGTATGATGCTGAGGGTAAAACCTTGGTCGGGGCTATGTCAGGTCACGCAGGCTGGGTCCTGAGTGTGGATGTGAGCAGTGATGGGGCGGCTGTTGCAACAGGCTCGAGTGATAGAACTGTGAGGCTGTGGGATATCAGCATGAGGGGAGCTGTGCAGACAATGAGCAACCACACTGACCAAGTCTGGGGAGTGGCGTTTCGACCAGGAGGAATGCCCGGTAGACTTGCTAGCGTGTCCGATGACAAGAGTATATCGCTGTACGACTACTCGTGAAGTAGCTGGCTCGGGGAGAAATGAAATTTACCAGATCGTGCGCTTGTAATCGGTTTGTTTGACACCCTGTTCTGATGTTCTGTGTGTAATACAAGAAACTAGTGTTGGTCTAGGGAATGCATGCGCGTACCGATTCGACGGATCTTTTACCGTCGAATTGGTGAAGCCTTAGAATTAAACTTGGTTTGATTGTGGCTGCTTCTTGGTTCGAAATTTGAAAATTAATTGTGTGGATTAACCAAAAAGCAACCTGTTGAAATCCGAGCATCAACAGCGAAAAGGCATACTTCGTTGCATTAATACAAAAAACTTGCTAAAACCCTAGTCTCTCACTTATTCCTTTGGAGCCTTGTTCAACAGATAATCCTTGAGCACATCCATCACCGCCCCGAATTCGGCCTTCACCTCCGTGGGCGGGTTAGCGGACCGGCAAGCCATGTCCGGGATGGCCTTCGAGTGATAGTCAACTTTCGCCTGCGTAAACTTCAGACCGTGAGCAGTACTGACCACCACAGTTCGATCACCGGCTCCAATGACACCACTCTTCCTGAGCTTATCCAATGCTGTTAGGGCAACGCCGGTGTGAGGGCAGATAAACATCCCCGTGGAGTCGGCTTTTGCCATTGCGTCCATCAGCTCCTCCTCACTGGCTTCCTCCACAATCCCGTCACAATTCTTCAGAGCATACACAGCTCTGTCGATGGAAACGGGATCCCCAATCTGTATTGCAGAGGCAAATGTCGAATTCGCCTTCACCGGCTTGAAATCCTTCCACCCTGACTTGTAATACAAGTAAAGCGGGTTTGCATTCGCGGCCTGAGCACAAACCATCCGCGGAATTCGATCCACTAACCCCAATTCCTGGCACATTTTGAACCCTTTGTAAAATGCATATATGTTGCCGAGATTGCCCCCCGGAACAATGACCCAATCGGGCACTTCCCAATCGAACTGCTGCAAAATCTCAATCGCCGCCGTCTTCTGCCCCTCCAGCCTCAAACTATTCAGCGAATTCGCCAAGTAAATCGGCAATTCGGCCGTGATTTCTCTGATTAGCTTCATGCAGCCGTCGAAGTCGGTGTCGATGCTCAGCACAAACGCGCCGTTCGCGATCGGCTGGACCAATTGCGCCATTGAAATTTTGTTCGCCGGTAAGAAAACAATCGAGGGAATACCTGCGGATGCGCAATAGGCGGAGAGAGCGGCCGACGTGTCTCCGGTGGAGGCGCAGCCGACTCCGATGACCGGTCGTTTGAGCTTCCTGAGCCGGTTGACCTGGCTGATTAGTACCGTCATGCCGAGGTCCTTGAAGCTGCCGGTGTGGCTGATCCCGCAGTGCTTGACCCAGAGATCGTTCATGCCCATAAACTGTTTTCCGAAACGCTCCGCCCAGAAGAGGTTGGAGTTCCCCTCGAACGCCGAAACGATGTCGTCGTCGTCGATCTCAGGGAGGACCCACTCCTTCTTGGACCAGACGCCGGAGCCGTACGGCCACGTGGTCTTCCCAACGCGCGAGTCGAAGAGCCTCCGCCAGTACGCGCCATCAAACTTCCGCAACGCTTCCATGTCGTGCTGGACGTCCAGGAGGCCGCCGGATTGGCTGCGGTAGACGATTTCGTCGAGCGAGTACGACTCGGGGGAGTCGAAGCCCGAGTTGAACGGGATGTACTTGGCCGATAAGTTATGGGGGGAGCGGTGGCGGCGGGCCTCGTCGCGGATGTTCTCGTCGGCGGCGCGGCGGGTCTTGTTGGAAGAGGGCTGGGGCGAGGAGGTGTTTGATGCGGTGGAGGGATCGAATGTGGAGGATGTGCAGGATACATAGAGTGAGGAGGTAGGGGGGCGTTTGGATGCGGGGTTTTGGTAAAACGCGGGGAGATCAGGGGAGAGGGAGGAGAGAGAGGAGTGGAACAAGGCGGACGAAGCCATGGCTGAGAGGAAAGAGAGGGG